GTCCCTTCTCCTATGAAGCAAAAGTATTGGAGAAAAAAAAGAGGACAACAAAAGGTCATCTCAGAACTCTCAAGTAAGCGTGTCGGAGGGGATAATATTAATATTCAACTATTTAACTGGTAGTAAAATTACAATGATACTTAGTATACACCATAGCCATAAAATGATGACGAGATGACTGATGGGAATGAACCTTGTTATGTGTAAACGAATGACTGTACCTCATCAACTGTGAGTAATTTTCAGCCCAGTGAAGGATATCGTGAAGACCATCAAGAAATCCACACCATTTGACACACAGACGTGTTTTGAGAAAAAGCAAATAATCTTCATACAAATGTTATTTTCTTATGAACCATGATCTTAATTTTTTTTTGAGAGATTTTTCCTATAGGGCACGTGCACTCGTCAGAGAGACAGGAAGTGAGAAATCACCCCCCCCCAAGGGGTATGGCCATGCTACATTCACTTCTCCATTCTCCTCTTGGGGTCTTGAGCATGCACATGCATGCACCTGGTGCAAGTTTTAAGCCTCCGGGTCTGGGACTTGAACTATGGTTGACCATGTGGGAATCCAGCGACATAACCATTATGCCATCTGCTAGTCCCATGAATAATAATCTTAAGTATGATTAACATAAAGTTATAACGGTTAAGAAGAGAAAAATGTCCCCATAGTTTCTAAGAAATACAAGAGATTAATGGACTAGGAACCTAACTACACTCTTAAATTCTGGATCATACCACCCCTGACCAAGATCACTAAGCTCTGACAATTTTATGTTTAGAGAACAAAATGGGAAGACTCCATTAAGAATTTAAATTGATCCTTTATTTACATTGACTAGAAAATTGCCACAAATTAACCAGCATTCTAGTCAAACCAGTGGCAAAGCATATTCGTTCGGTCCCACTGGGTCGTCAGAAAAGTCATGGTGTATTTTTTTTTCTATGCAAAAATGCATCGTGACTTTTCCAATGACCCACTTCATTTGGAAGAAGAGTCAATGATTCAATGAAGCAACAACTGGCCTAATCCCAAGGCCAACACACAGACCGGGTATGTGTCAGAAAGGTTGGATTAAAGAATATTAAACAAATGCCACTCCACCCTCAACTACAATCATAAGCTCAATTAACCCTTTTGGGAAGAGAAAAAAAAAAAAAAAAAAAAAGACAAGACATGACAAGGATATGCAGTGACATGGCAATACGATAAGGCAGAAATCTGTTTGCTTCCTCTTTCTTTTCATCCACTGATGCACAAGTACTCATTAGGCCAGGAACTCACAAACAACCTGACTTTGGACAGCCCGTGGAAAAAATCCCAAGAATGGATCTTACATGTTTTTAATGACTGGAAAAAAATATTCAAAATGACGGAATTTCATGACACGTCAACATTACATGAGACTCGAGTGTTAGTGCCCAGCAAGTTTTACTGAAGCGCCGTCACATTCATTCATTCACGTGCTATCTATGGCTGCTTTCACGTGGGCACCGCACCATGGACGAGTGGTGGCAGACCCTGCATGCCCCACAAAACCTGCAGTATTTACTGTCTTCTACATTCAAAAAACAGTGTGCAGGCCTCTCTCTTAAACCAGCGAATCCGATACAACGAATGTATTGATAGCATATCGTGAGCAAAACGAGAAAAGACAAAATGAGATTCGGGAAAAGTCAAAGTAAGCAAGCATGTGTCGGAGCTTGGTCCTTCACATTCACGGCAAGCAGGGCAAGTGGCAGAGCTAACAGGAAGGACACGCACACGTCGGATTTCATACCAATCTAACAATGCTGGGAGCACAAAAATCTCTATTCAGACCTGAAAACCCCACTGACACAGGCTTTCTCTAACTACATGAGGTAGAAGCAGACACGAAGTGCAAGGTGTCGAACTCCCCCAGCAACAGACAAATGAATGGCTCTGGGACTCCTTGAAACACTTCCATCAATCCCACAGCCTGCGTGCGAGGCCAGGAGCAATGGCCCCTGCTGTACAAGTCCTACTTTAGAAACCAAACCCCAGACTCTCCCTCCAGCTGGGTCCGACCTTGGCTAGTCCTGCGATTCCCCAAGGGTCTATTCTTTCAAGATATGCTGACCAACCAGAGGGGAACATTATTGCTCTTGACTCCTAGTATCAGAGGAAAAATGAGAAAAGAAAAGGGACTAGAAGAGGAACAACTTTAAAAAAATAATAATAATAATGTTTTGTTGTCTTTGCAGTAGACAAAATATAATTATGGTAGAGAGATCCCTCAACAAAGGGTCTAGGGCCAAGCACCAGACTGGAGTCACTGACACTCATGTTAAGATGGGAGCGCTAAGAAACAGGCATTTGAATTCAAGGATGTGAGTCTTTCCCTTCCTTTTGGAAGGGGCTTCTGGAAACAAAGACACATGTAGCCATGCAGGGTGTGTCTGTTCTTCCCACAGGGGCAAAAGCAACATGTGTCTGAATAATGTCTGCTACAGAGTAGCCACCCAGGCATTAATCATGAACACTATCTGTAACAACGGGCGGGTCAGACAGCACCCGCCTACTGCCGTATTCCAATAAAACCACACTCGTTTTATCACAGTTCATACACTTGAAACAGAATCGGTCTGGGGAGGTACAGTTCTGCTTACCTACGATCCTGTTTACCTACTGGGTAACTTGAAGAAAAATACCCCTTAGCCCTCTGAAAAGCAAAAACAGTACATTGTCAAATCTAACAAAGGGAGAATGACTTTCAGAAGGGTAGTCTGAGTCAGTCCATTAACGGTTTTCAGTTTTTCTAAAGGCTTTTTTACGACCACCATGGTATCTAAAGTAATGCACTGTTTCCCTCAGTAAGCTCCAAGTTGTTGTTTTAAAAGTTAATAGCTAGTTTGGGCCGGCAGGTGGCGTGGTAGCTAAAGGTGCTGGACTCCCAAATGGCCAACATCGGTTGAGTCCCGGACCTGGTGGCCTGCTTTCTCACTTTCCCTCTCTATCTCTGATCGAAAACTGGAAAATAGTAACAATAATAATAAAGTTAAATAATTTTTTTTTTAAAAAAAAGTTAATAGCTGAAACAAAAAAATCATCTTAAGACCTTAAGTATCTTTTAATACTTAAAGAGAACTTAAGATCATAAATATTTTTTAATACTTAAAAAAACTTAAGTATTTTTGTATTCTTTTTTTTGGAGAGGTTTTTGCTATAGGGCACTTGTACTCGCCAGAAAGACAGAGACAGAGATAGAAAGCGAGAAATTACCCCCCAGGGGGGATGGCCACTCCGCAATCTATTCTCCTCTCAGGATCTTGGGTACACACGCACACGCGCCTGGCGTGAGTTTAAGCCACCGGGTCCGGGACTCGAACAGTGGTCGACTACATGGGAGTCCAGCGACATAGTCATTACGCCAACTGCTGGTCTCAAAAAAACTTAAGTATTTTTTTTTAACGCCTACTGAATATAATTACTATATGGCTCAGCAATTCTATTATGAAAACATATGTCTACTTAGATAAACTTATCCACAAATGTTCTCAGCATTATTATTCACAAATAAAAAGTGAAATCAATTCAAATGCACAATAAAATGTGGTATATCCATACAATAAAATATTCTTTAGCAATAGAAATAAAAAGATATCTGATCAGTGCTACAATATGGATGAACTGTGAAAACATGCTAACTCAAAGAAGCTACCACAGAAGACCACATGTGGTCTCTATACTAGTTCCCAAACAGGCAAGTCCCTAGAGACAAAGTGGATCCGGGACCACCGGAAGCTGGGGAGGGAACAGAGGGCAGAGGTGGACTGCTAATGACCATGGGGTTCCTTCTTGGGATGATGACAATGTTCTAAAATTAGAACATTAGTGGTGACAGTTACTCTGTAAATATATTAAAAACACTGAACTGTGCACTTTATTTGAATGGGTAGAGTTTATGGTGTGTAAATTATATCTCAATAAAGCTGTTACTAAGGGGAGAAAAAAAACAAAAACAAAAAAACACAAAGCTCTGGGAGCCAGAGGATGATGCAGGGAATGCCACTGGACCCACAAGAGAAAGGTCCCAGCTTGTGTCCAAAGGCCTCTCTCTACACACGGGTGAGTATGTGCCCCTGATCCAGGCTGGCTGAGGCTAGGAGTCTGGATGGTGACGTGGGAACCCTGTCGGGGGTGTCTCTATCCATTCCACCCTGTCGGAACAAACGTTAAATAATAATAAATTTCCAAAAACTTTTTCATCGAGGAAGAGAGAAGGGGGGTGTTGACAGGCACCTCCATCAAGGTCTTCACACCAAGATCACCCCTGTCTTGGACAGTCCAGATCACAGACACAGGCATGGCCCGTGTGCTCAGGAAGGTCCGGGATGGGAACTGAGGACTTCCTTGTATGTGTCCAGCTGTGTTACCACTGTGCTACCCCCTGGCCCTCACCCTTTTCTTTCTTTTTTTTAATCACCAAAACAGACATACTTCATATTTTAAACGGTTACAACTGAGTTATAAATTAAAATCTCCTTTTTTGCTAATTATTACATACTCGGTTATCAAAAAAGTCATGACACAGTTTTGCACAGAAAAACACGGAAAAAATACATCCTGACTGTTCCAATGACCCAATAGTTTCTAAATGAAGAAAAGAAGAAAGATCTAAAAAGAGTTTGCAGAGCCCTTTTCATTTTAACTTTCATTTTGTGACACTTCAAGCTTGATGACAAATTCCAAGGGCTTGTGTTCATGGGCTAAATGTTTTCCATTATAACCTCCAAAGGATTCATGTAGAAGACCCTATTCCAAAACTCTGCTGTGTGCTGCACACCATTTATGAAAGCTTAGCTGCAACAAAATGTTCTCACTTATCGAGCAGAAGGAAAAAAAGAGAAGAGGGGAAAAACACTGTGGTGTCCCCACCTCATCGCCAAAACAAAAAACAAGGCCATAAACAGACACAGCAGACCTGGCTAACCACACCGTGTGCTCACACAGACCGAGTGAAGCCACTTACCGCCTGGGACCTCGTCCCTTCCTGCATCTTGGGTGTAGCAGCGCCATTGCCCACAGCCACTTCTTCAGAAATCGAACTAGCCCTGGTATTACCCAGAAAATCCACTTCGTCTTCAGCTTTCGAGTTCGGCATTTCTGAAAAGAACGACAGGGTGTCACAGTGCATTTGAAAAACTGATCCCTGTGCCGAGCTATTTTCACAACATGCTCCAGGTTTTCTCTGTTTTACTTTCTTTTCACTTTTGTGTTCAATGGAAAAGTATTCTGCTCTCAGGGTAATGCCATTGCTGACCTTGGGCTGAGTTACTCCTCTGTCCCTGGGTTGTGTAGTTTCCCTCGGCTTGCCGTGTGTCTGGAGCTAAGGGAAGACCCAATTCAATGTCTACTGAATGGCCATTTTCTCTACTGACTTTTTTTTTTTTTAAAAGGGGTGGGGTGGGATTTTTGCTATAAAGCGTGTGTGCTCACCAACCAGAGAAACAGATGATGAGAAATCACTCCCAGGGGGATGGCTGCAATCCCTTCTCCTCCATTCTTCTCTTGGGATTTTGGGCATGCACATACACATGTCCAGCATGAGTTTTAAGCTGCCGGGTCCGGTACTTGAACCACAGCTGACTGCATGGGAATCCAGTGCCTTAATCACTACGCCACCTGCTGGCCCCTCTACTGACTTTTTAAGACAGATCAAAAGTGTGGTGCTGCTGACTTGTTTACAGAAAAGAAATGTCATAAGCTTTAAGGAACCAGGTTAACAGCTCAAGACCAGGAGTCGATCTTGGCCATCAAAAAGACAACAGAGACTTGCACGAGACAAAAAAGAAAATTAAAAATCTCTGATAATCTTTTAAAAAGAGCCTCATGATCTTTAAAACATGCGATTCTCTCTGCTGCACCCATCACTGCAATCAATAAGACCAAACAAATCTACGTGATTATTTTTATTTTATCTCTTCCAAAAGCAAAACATGATCAGAAAACAGCAATTCTTTTTCTTAAGAAAAAAGTGTTTAGACATGGCTTCTCTATAGTTCCTGGCTGTCCTCCTGCTAGCCACGCTGGGCAGACCACACAGTAGTGGCTTTGTGATTTGACCACCATATAACCAAGCAAGTACGGGAAGGAAATAATAAAATGAGACCTGAACAAATTTAGGCTCCTGCCCCCTCTTTAAAGGTGACTGATGACTGAACAGTCAAAATTCACCTTGACAATACAAATGCAAACACAAATGGCACTGTCATCTCAATTTCACATGGAAAGTTTTCTGTGGTCACAATTTAGTGTGCTCACTACTGTCTGGCAAAGAAAAAAATGTTCCCTCCACCAAAGATCACAGAGGTTTCTTCCACCAAAGAATGAATTATATTAATTACGATTTTATTCTAGCAGGACACGTGATATGCAGAAAGGTATACTTCAGATTTAAGAAAGCTGTGTTCCTATCAATGAACATCTATAAATCTATCCTTTTTTCCCTTAGGTTTATATAATCTTGTAAGCAATTTTAAAAAGAGTAAATAAGTTTTCTTGCCCAGTATAAAAAAATCTGTGTCAACTTTCATAAAATGTGATTCAAGTTAAAGAAAAATCCAACCCAGCAATCTTCTTAGAGAAAAACATATCTAAGTCAGTTAGGATAATTCTGGGCTGGGGGGTGGTTACGTGGAGGCATGGCAGGAGGGGCTGTTGATTCCTATTTCATTCGTTTGGAGGTGTGACTTCGGCACAGCTTACTTTCCTGTACCTCTCCACTGAAAATACGTATCTTGGCAGGCAGCGACCAGTCACAATGGCCAGCAGTGATTACTAAGACTGGAGGGGCTGGCAGCTTCTGGTGCTGCCATGACTCAGTCACGCACGCCCAGCTTCCTAGGACGGATCAATGCTTGTGGTGGGTGAAAGACGACATCCCGTTCTCTCGCTGGCTCCTTCCATTTCAGCGGTTAACTACACCGCCTTACTCAAAAACCAGTATGGTGGGCTCAGTTGCAGCGGCACAGAGGGGGCACCACAGCTTGGGATGCTGGGGGCCACGTAGGAGGCTCTGAATTTGGTTTCTGGGCCAACCTGAACATGCCGGGCATGTGGCATTTCCTAGAATCCTAGCTGGTTGGGACTCTGGGCAGGAGAGCAATAGCAAGACCCTGTCAAAAACACCTATGTCTTTCTCTCCTTCCCAATAAAAGAAAACAACAAGGGGCCAGCAGATGGCATAGAGGTTATGTCACTAGACTCCCACATGGTTGACCGTGGTTCGAGTCCCAGACCTGGTGGCTTAAAACTCATGAAGGGGCCATGTACATATGTGCCCAAGATCCAAGTAAAGAATGGAGAAGGGATTGTGGTGTGGCCATTACCCTTGGGAGTGATTTCTCACTTTCTGTCTCTGTCACCAGAGAACACACGAGCTCTATAGCAGAAATTTCTCTAAAATAAATAAACAAAACAACAAAACAAAGCAGGAGGGGAGGGGAATGGGGGGGGGCGGGGGGGAAAAACCTGAAACCACCAGTTAAATCCACAGATGGAATAGAATATATTTCTTCCTAGAAATACCCTTTGGCTCTGAGATTACACTCAGGTGCTTTTTCTGGAGGGCAATGCGTCCAGGGACTTTCCCCTCCCCTGGCTATTCTCTGAAGAAAGTGCCATTTCTTGGTCACAGGCAACTTTTCTCTGTAACCTGAGACTGTGTGCACTCAGCCTGACAGGACTTCTCCTGGTAGAACAAGCCAGTGGCCCACAAGAACACTCCCAGAGCCATACACTGCCGAGCCCCACACAGTGTTCTTCTTAAGACAGGAAACATCATTTTTCAGCATCTTTAATTGTGCGCTTTTAAGCATCAAAGTTTAAAATCCTCCCTTTACCTTGTCCCACAGAGTACTACAGACACGAAGCCCATAGAGTTCACTCTTGCTTGGGTTCAATCCTGACCACTGAGCCAGAAAGAGAAACAACTTCCGCCCATGTGGTCCCATGTGGTCAAGGACGCAGCAGTGGGATGAAAAGAACACAGCCAGGCATCAGCTTACAGCCACTCCCATTCTTCTGAAATGCCAACCTGCCAGGGCCCCGAAATAGACTTGTTGTTGTGTCTTATTTTAAAAATTAAGAGACCTTCTCATCCAAATTCTGAGCAAGCATCCAACAAATTTCTGTCACTAGCAACCCAAAAACATGAAGAAAACTAAGAACTTGAAGTCACCCAAAATTCCACTTCGAGTTTCACAAATCCTTCAGCTGGCGTGGGGGTGGGGAGGATTATAAATGGTTAAAAGCCCTTCTTGGGGAAACTGACTCCTGTATTCAAGTTGCTCTTCTTCCCAAATAACTTTTTTTCTTCTGTTTGTTCCTTTCTCTCTATACCCCACCCCCATGCTCTTTAACACATACTACACTTGAGGGGATTTTCACAAATTAAAAGGGACGGCCAAAACACGCAAACCAGCAATACGGACAAAACAAGTTATTTCTTACTTACGGAAGCCTAGGGGCACGCATGGAGACAGATCCTGTCTACGGCTGCTAACAGGTGGTGGCAGACAGTGTGCATCAAATTGACCTTTAAAGGCTTTGGGTGGAGACCGAGTCGGACTCCAGTTTCACCTTCAGCCTCAACCCCCAATAAGCAGCTTTATTCAGAAAGCGCATTTCCACTGAGTGGAGGTGGTTTCTCTGCTGTCTCTGGACATGGTTACCCACAGATGCAACGGGCTGCTCTGAGAGCAATCTGCTCGGTGCAGCTGCTTCACCAAGATAAGCAGGCACAAGGTCTGCCCTGTGACAGCGGCTCGGCCGACTGGGCTGGGGCGGAAATCCTGCCTCCCAGCCCCTGCGCTGTGCAGGGTTCTGAATTCCCAGACTTGCTGCCCCAGAGCAACAGGCAGTGGGACTGGAGGTCTGCTCCTGCAGCAGGAAAAGAAGGGAGTGCCTGTGCTCCGAAACCAATGACCTAATACAGCATTTTCAATGTTGGGCCGCCGGCTGAGAACGAGACTGATAGCTGTTCAAGAGACCATTCTGACTCTAAATTCGCTCAGAAAACAGACCAGGGTAATTGGCAAAGGGGAGTTTCGGGCTCGTAAATAAGCAGAGCTTTCTGTCAGTGTTTTCTACGGCGCTTGAGAAATGGTCTCGGCCATGAAAACCAAGCCCGTCGCCATTTCGGAGCACCTGTGAGGGAGGCATTGTCTTCTGTTCTGGAAAGCTGCAACTGCTCCGGGTGACAGACAGGCGTCTGCAGGCTTAGGCAATTAAGCGGCAGATCTACACTACAGGAAGCAAAATCTGTCCAACCCTGAGGTGACAGGCCTCTGTTAATGGCAGTGACTATGAACTAGGCAATCTAACCCAACGAGTACAAGACCTTGAAACAACAAAGGTGCCTGTTTTTTTTTTTTTTTTTTTCCAACACATCACACACTCCTATGAGAATCTGCTTCTCTAATTCCATTTGCATTCTGTTTTTTCATACCTGTTGCTGCCTCAGGCTCTGGAACAGTCTTCTCTGGCTCCTCCTTCCCAGCAAAACATCCTGCAAGGTTCCCTGTGGCTTCTTCCAGAAGACTGCCCACCTGCGGGGTCTCCCCAGGTGGGAAAGCGTTCATTTTCTCTGTAGATGCACCCTCCAGCTGCTCAGTCAGAGGGCCTGACTCAGGCCTGGGCAGGGACATGTGACCGACTTCCCCCGCGGTCATCAGGGCTCCTGAGGCCTTGACTCGTTCGATGACAGCATCCACGATGCGGCTGGCAGCCTCCTCTATGGAGTCCGCTCCCTGAGGCAGATGTGCGGCTAGGGCAGAACCCCTGCAAGGTATAGAGGGGGCGCTCTTTTCCTTCCCTGGGGCCAAGCCTCGCCCGACTTCCTTCGTGCCAGCTGGGGCCTCGTCATCACGGGCCGGCAGTCCTGCCTCTGTGGGAAGCTCCTCGGCACTGGGCTGCGGCAGGAGCAGACATGTCTCATCATCCACGGGTGCCTCCTTGGAGTCGCCCTCTATGTGGCTGGGGTCCCCTCCTCCCAGCGTCCCTTCCTTGCCATCAAGAGGCACCACAGCCGGGGCGGCAGCTCCCTGCAGGTCAGTCATACCTTTGAGGGGTGAATCTCCTGGCAAACCCAGGTTCATATCCGTCTCCTGGCTCAACATGACATTTGGAATCGGGGCGTCTTGGGTGTTAGGTGACGAGTCATTTCTTCTGGCCCCCGCAGTACCTGGTAGAGCGTTAACTCCTGCGACATCCACAGTTACTTTTCCGCTTGCCTCGCAGGCTTTGCATTTTCCCTGGGGTTGAGTGTTCTTCACTCCAATGTCCGCAGCAAGAGGTCGACTGCAATCTAAAGCCTCCGACCCAGCTGGCAAGATAGGCGGGCTGTTCTGTCCCGCACCCGGGGCTTCCTGCTTCGAGTCTGCTCCCAGACTTGCACCCCGTGGCACCAGGCTCTGTGCAGCCCCACCTTCAGTCAGCAGGGAGACTTGTGGGGCCACTTCCTTGTTATGTTTAGTTTCTGCCTTGACATAGGCCGCGGGTGTGCCCAGTGAAGTACTGAGTTGAAGCACTCTGTCCTCGGCATGGGTGGCTGAGAGAGGTTCTTCACAGAATCCTGGTGTCTCCTGCCCGGGAGGTGGTGTCCTCTGTTCTTCCTGCAACGCCCCTGAAGAAAGGGTTTCTTCTCTCGTGGACAAACAAGTCACTGCCTTATGCTCATCACCGTGTCCCTGAGCTGCAGAGCTTTCTGGAACCACCAGATGTTTTCCTTCCTCAGTCGAAACCGAATCAGAGGTCAAACTGGCCTCATCCGCACTGAGCTGAGGACAGCCGGTGCCCTCCGTGCTGTTCAGACCTTCAGAGGTAGCTGAGAGGCTGGGACCCTCGTGCTCCCCAAGTCCTGCAGGGCTGGCATTCCCCATGCTGGGCTGAAGCTCCGGGCCAGTGGAGCATGGGGTCAGGCCTGCTGCCCTGTCTTCTAGAGGAGGCTCACGGGGAGCATCTGAATCTCCGTCTGGGCTGTCTCTACAATCTGGAGCCGTGTGTTCAGGAGTTGCTGTTCCCTTTTCTTTCTGGGAGGGGTCAAGAGAGGGTACGTCATCTTTGGTTACTGATTCACTGCCAGGACTGCCTGCTAAAGAGAAAATGCTGCCTGCTGTTACAGCCTGGTCCGGCACCAGTTCTTTCTCTGTGTTAGGGACAACTAACGAACTCCCCTCAAGCTTATCAGCAGAAGGTCTATTTAGTTCCAGATCTTTTCCTTGGACTTCTTTATCTAATATGTTGAGTGGACACAAACTCACATGTGCCTGGGTATCTCTTACAGGGTCAGGGGCGACTGCGTTAGCCTGGGGGTCTTCACAGGACTGGACAGTGGGCGGATCCTCTAGGTTGAGCTGCCCTGCTGTGGTGCCCTCAGGCTGGCTAACCACGTCATCACAGTGCTCTGCACCCAGCTCACCACTAGGAGGCACTGTGTTCAGCTGACACACAGAGTCAGGGCCAAGTTGATCATCTCCAGTTGCAGAGGTGGGTGACGTGCTGTTTTGGCTTGGCCTGTGAGATGAATCCATTTCTAATTTCTGGGTTGGTGTGACATCTTTTTCTTTGCCCACAGGTGTCAGATCTGAGGGTGACATTGCCTCACCGCTGCTTGCTAAGGCAGTGTCAGGTTCTAACCCATCTGCACTCCTGTCTTTTGCAGCAGCTGGAATGTCCAGAGAGCCCTCATCTCCTGGGGCATCAGAGCTCTCCTCACAACTTTCCCTTGAACATTCGGTTTCCACTGTTTGAAGGGAGTTCTCTCCACTACTGAATGCAAGTGAAGACTCAGCAGGTGTGTTACCAGCCAGGGGACAGGGACTGGCGTCAGACACACACTTTGGAACACGTGGCTTAGTGGTATGGTCCACAGGCGTACTCGTGACTTGACCGTCAGAGGCTCCAGCTGTGCTGGGATGAGTGCGCGCGCGTCTTTCCTCTGTACTTCCCCCTCGTCGGAGTACAGTCTTCTGGGCGGGGGCATCTGGGTTCATGGGACCATGCTGCCCTTCCTCCGTGGTGGCCGGGGTACTGGCACCCAGGGTTGAACTGCCAGCTGGTTCACCTCCAGAGAAATGCTGGGCTAGGCCTGGCTCTGGGGCCAGGTCTCCCTGCTGTACGCTGTCTCCGCTGCTCAGAGCTTCCTGGTCTGAAGCCCTTCTGGAAGATTTTGCTCCAGTATCTTCATTTCTGTCTCCACAGGGCAAAAGGCCTTCCACACTCTTTGCTCCACAGTCAGGCAGGCTCTGAAGGCAGCGGTCTCCATCAGACCCGAGAGCAAAGTCCACAGCAGCTGCTGGCTCCGCCTCTTCCACTTTACTTTCCACGCCTTGGCTTTCCTTCCTACAGGGAAAGTCCGTGTTCTCTCCTTGGACAGCACTTGGGAAGCCATGGGAACTTTCCATCTGCCCCACTGGGCTCCCTGGGCAGCGCTGAGTGCTTCCAGGCTCCTCAGGAGGAGGGGAAGGCTGCTGGCGGTCCACGGGCTCTGACGCACAGTGAAGGCCCTGGCCATCTGGGTCTGGGGCACTGGGCGGGCTGCAAGGACCTTGTGCTGTCACCATTGAGGGCGTAAGATTGTCCATCTGCTTGAGGCTTGTTTTCTAGGAGGAAATAAGAGAAATTAAAAACCAACCAACCAACCAACCAACCAACCAAAAATGGCGTATGGGAAAAGATGTCACTGGCACCTGTAAGTGAAAATCACACCAGACAGAACTCATTGTCAGTACAGTCCTTCTACGGTCACATGAAAAACTGATTTGAGCCAACAAAAACTCTCTCTCATTCTTGATTTCACTTTCCTTTTCATAACTGCATATTCCCTGAAGTGTTAAAGATGGCTTAGAATGCACAACAGACTATTTTCTAATCTTATATTTACTTTAACGAGATGGAAAAATTAAACTTCAAAACGTTATTTTAAAAAGAACAGTAACTGAGGCCAGCAGATGGCATAGCGGTTCTATCACTAGACTCCCACATGGCTGACCACAGTTTGAGTCCCGGACCCAGTGGCTTCAAACTCATGCCAGGCACATGTGTGTGTATGCCCAAAATCCTAGCAGGAGAAAGGAGGAGAAGGGATTGTGGTGTGGCCATTCCTCCTGGGGGGTGATTTCTCACTTTCCCTCTCACTTTCTCTCTGTCTCTCTCTCCAGCCAGCCCACGTACTCTAAGGCAAAAACTTCTTTAAAAAAAAAAATTATAAAAAGAATGAGAAAAAATGTGTAAAAAAACAAAAACAAAAACAGTAACTCAATGACAAGCTGAGAAAGGTAATTGGTAAAGGGTCTTTAGAGGCACAGTCTATCTCTACCTCCCCTCACATATACCAGTAAAAACAAATCCTAACCGGTTTGGTAAACTCTTCAACACTGTGCCGCTAGATGCTCCTGTGCCCCAAATAGGTGCAGAGGAAGTTACACAGCATCCTTCAGTCCACAAAGTGTGCCCCACCCAATCTACCCTGACCATCTCAGTTATGAGTTCATAACTTCAAGAACAATGGCATGGTCGGTATTCTTTCACTTTTTGATAAAAGCAAATACAATCAAATATTAGGCAAATAAGAACATTTGACATTAATGATTATTGCCAAGTTTTGTGGGCTGACAATACTATAGGTCATCTCAAAAACAGTTCTGTAACTTGCACATTTTTTTTATATTTACTATTTTAAAAAAAAGTTTTTCTATAGAGTACATATGCTGTGGGGCAGAGGGGAGCGGAGTGAGAAAGCACCCCTAAGGGGGATGGCCACATCAGAATCCTTTCTCCTCCATTCTCCTCTTGGGAGTTTTGGGCATGCACGCACACACGTCCAGTGTATTTTCAGGTTGCCGTGTCCAGGATTCAGACAGCACAACTGGCCATATGGGATCCCTCTGCCTTTGCCTACATACCATCTGCAGGCCCCTGAATATATTTTTCTTTAATAAAGTGAGATTTTTGCTATCGGGAACATTTTATTTTCAAGTATAAAGGGATAAAAAAAAAATAAACATGGGAATGATTAAGATAGCCATGGATCATCAACCCAATAGAAGGAATACTATACATTGTTATATAAATTTTATTATGAGGACTATAACACAATCTGATAAAAATGTTTGTAATACAACATTGAAAATAAATAAAATCTGCAGTTAATCTAAGGTTGTAATTATGCAAAAATCTCATGTGTGTGTAGGTAAGGCTTAAGAAAAAAGGGTGACTGTTAGTGACTTTATATCAAAATTGCAGGAACTATAATAAATAATAAGTCTCAGAATAAACACTACAAATATTGTTCAACACCTAAACTATTTTCCAGGGCCAGCCATTGGCGCAGTGGTTAAGGCAGCTAGATTCCACACTGCCAAATACAGTCTGAATCCCAGATCCAGTGGCTTGAAAAAACACACCAGGCCAAGTATGCATGTGTGCCCAAAATCTCAGAGGAGAATAGAAGAAAAGATGACTATGGCATGGCCAAACCCCAGAATATGCTTTCTCTCTTGCCCCCTCCATGGCAAGCACACATACCTTATAAGTGAACACTTAAAAAAAAAAAAATCAAAAAAGCCAATGAAAATCCCTAAACTTTGGGCCAGCAGGTGGTGTAGTAGGTAAGGTACTGGATTTCCATGTGGTTAATTACGGTTCAGGTCCCAGACCCAGTGACTTGAAGCTCACGTCAGGTCCATGTGCACCCATGCCCATAATCCCAAGAGGAGAATGGCAGAGAAGGGACTGTAGCATGGGCAGCCCCTCTGGGGGAGTGGGGGTGATTTCTCTCTCTCTGTCTCTCCAGCAAGCGTACATGTCCTATAGCAAAAATTTCTAACTAAAAATATGATTTAAATGTCTGCATTGCTCTTTACTTATCAGCTCATCTACTGAAATACCCTCATGCCTATCTACCATCATCTCTTCTCTTAGCTGTTTACTCACCCAGTAAACATGTTGAGTACTCACAGAATTTTACCATCGGACTACTCCTATGGACTTACTGAAATCTACTGTGAAAGCTGACATGTCTAAGATGTCTTATGCTCACTGAAGTCCTTCTGCTAAACGGTCGGAATAAAAACAACTGCCGCTCAAGGATTCTATGCTATGCTCCTTGAGGATACTCCACATTAGCTTGCTTCCTTTCCTGCTGAGTGTGACAGCCTCCTAAAGATCTGGAAAACAGATCATTAAATACGATCAAAGGAGAACTTCATAGAACAGATGTGGAGAACTTCATAGAAGAAGAGATCTGAAGCATAAAGTGGTGTTTCAAAAATTTTCGGAGCTTACAACACGTGCATCTTCCCACAGTTTTAACTTCTGTTTTCTCGTCAACTGTTCCCACACTATGCAGGTCGTTTTGGTGGTAACCATGAAGTGATGTTTTCAAATGGATGATTGTTCACCTGGTAAGAAGAACTCTCAGGGGAAATCTGATTTCCCAGAAGTCTACTGAGAGGCAAATAAAATGACACCAATTTCGGAACAAATGTGCTTTTGCAGGGCAGAGGCAGGTACAGCATACGATCCTGCAGGGGAGCCTATTGCCCTGCTGGTTTCAGAAGTAATTCCTGCCCCCAAAGAAGCGTCTGGGATTAAGCTGACCCCAGAAGACCTTAAATGAAATTACTGTCAAGCTGTGTCCAAATTAAATCAGCCGTGAAATAAACTGATGAAAATATTATCTAAACGTGGCCTTTCAGATGTTATGGTCAAGAGAGATGTACCCACAGGACATTTATATGATCCCTAATAAATGCTACCAAGGAGTCTGCAATGTTTTTGTGTCTGGCAATAACTTCATCCTGAAGGCTGGAGTGCATTATAAAATCTTAATTTTTTTGGAGATCTTTTTACCATACAACTATCAATGTAAGTATCGTTAACACCATCATCTCTCACAAAATAGTTGTGAAAAGCATATTTCTGGGTAAATTTGATGCTTATTATTTGGCGACAATCTCAGAAATTGCTTTGCTGGGAACCAGCAGTTAGCGTAATGGCTATGTTGCTGGACTCCCACGTAGTCGACCGCGGTTCGCGTCCCAGACCCGGTGGCTTAAAACTCACGCCGGGCGCGTGTGCGTGCGTGCCCAAGATCCCGAGAGGAGAATGGAGGAGAAGGGATTGCAGCGTGACCATCCCCCCTGGGGGGTGATTTCTCGCTTTCTGTCTCTATGTCTCTGTCTGTCTGGCGAGCACACGCACCCTACAGTGAAAATCTCTCAAAAAAAAAAAAAAAAATAGAAATTGCTTTGCTCATTTAATTTTATAAAGTGAAACCAAACACAAATTTCCTTTTTGGCCAGGGAGACTTCACTCTCATTGCTGCACGTTTCTATATCTGCAGTGTGTGTGTGTGTGTGTGTGTGTGTGTGTGTGTGTGAGAGAGAGAGAGAGAGAAAGAGAGAGAGAGAGAGAGAGAGAGAGAGAGAGAGAGAGAGAGAAGCTTTCATTATTTCAAAAACCTAGCCAAAAAAAGAAGAAAAAAGAAAAAAAAAGTCTCTCAATCACCCTATTGCCACAACAGAATGCTAGTTCGGCATCTCTAAGTGTAACATCTAATATGCTGATATGCTTTTTCATGATCTTTGGGAAAGTATTTCTATGCTCTATTTACGTCAAGGTTAAGAGCGGGGAAGGATGGGGATACACGGATGCGCAGACTTGGAAATGCAGTCGTCCTTCCTTACCATTAGTTGTTGTTGGATGTTCATAAGTTTAAAAATATGTCCAGTGCAGCTGTCGCCAGGAGATGGGGGCGCATGGTGAGGTTCCGACTCCGAAGTTAACGTGTAGACGTCCAACTCCCGATGGTGCCTCACAGAACAGTCTCCGTAAGGTATTTCATAGGATAAACTGCTCCAGGACTCTGGTTCCCCAGCATTTTCCCTGCAAGTGAGTGATCTCTACTTAGTACAGACATACATTCTCCCTCCCAGAAGAAGCTTAGCCCTCTAAGTCCCACAGAAAACTCCGACCCCGATTCTTCTGTGAGGCTCTGCAACAACAAAACATGGGTTTAGACGGCTTCCCAACAATTCAGGCATATAACCAGCTGTTTCGTCTGCTTCCCAAGAGGTCACAGTGAGTTAAATGAAAAGTACAGGACTCCTCCCTAAGGATGCTCTTTCCATCAAGATAAAAAGAAGTCTGGGATTTTAAAATAGCTAATAGTATGCTAACAACCAAATAATGAGGAAGTGTAAAGAAGATGGTTACAGCCTGGTTTTACAATAGAAGCAAGACTTGCTCTTAAAGTAAGTTATGTAATATGCTAATTGCAGTCAGTCATTTCGGAATGAACCAGTCACTCCAACCCATGCAAGGGCACTTCAACTTTTTAACAAAGTAGAGGAAACACCTTCCAATTCTCCAAGTCAGCTTTATAATGCTGTACTTCTAGAGATGCAGTAGGCTGGTCTTCATAGATACACCTCACAGAGGCCCTAGAAGAACAGTATCGATTCTGTCAGGGTGAAATATGGCACGTCCACACTGTTTACACATTCACGAAACTGACACACACTAGCAACAACCTTTTCCTACGGGGGGAAAAAAGAAAACACACTCGACTCCCCATTTCAATTCACTGCAAACTTATCTGATTACGAAGAATCCAGAGTCCGCTAGAAGCTACATTACAAGGTGACATGATGCAGAGACCATGGACGTTGAGGTCTGAGTACAATTCCACTTATTCCATGGTCTCATCTAAGACAAATGATTGCATCTGAAAATTCATAATGTGTTTTTGCATACAAATACATAGGAAAGTACATCAGGACATTGCTGACGACACAATATTAATCTTCTTGGAGCCTGTTAAAAAAAGGGTAGGGGGGACCAGCAGATGATGTAGCGATTATATCGCTGGACTCCCACATAGTCGACCGTGGTTCAAGCCCTGGACCCAGTGGCTTAAAACTCACACCGGGGGCGGGGAGGTGTGTGCCCAAGATCCCAAGAAGAGAAGGGTGGCCATTCCCCCTGTGGGTGATTTCTGTCTCCCCATGTGCCCTATAGCAAAAATCTCTTGCTAAAAAAAAAAAAAAAAAAAAAAAGTAAGGTAGAGGGAGGCCAGAAGGTGACATGGTGGTTAGAGCACTGTACTCCCACACAGCCAACCACAGTTTGAGACCCAAATCTGGCAGCTGCGGAATCATACCAAGCAGGTGTGTGTGCCCAAAATTCTGACAGAATGAAGGAGAAAGGATTGCGGAGTGGGAGTGACCAAACCCCCTTGTGTGTGTGTGTGTGTGTGTGTGTGTGTGTGTGTGTGTGTGTGTTTTCACTTTCTCTTTCTCCTCTCCAGTAAGCACATGCACCCTGTGACAAAAACCTTAAAAAAAAAAAAAAATGGTGAGGGACATAGAGAGCCAGGTTCCTCAAGGATGACCATGGTTTGAGTCCTGTCCCCAGCAGTTAATGCATATGTATATTACTAGTAAGTATTAGTTTTGGTTTCCTTCTACAAGCCACAGGGGTACAGATACAACCACGACTTTTTATTGCTAATATGCATGAACCGTCTAACAACATAACCAATATTTACCTTTGCACTTCGTATTTACCATCTCTTTGATTCTCTTCACTATCCTGAGAAGGAGAACATTCTTACTCAATTTTGTGGTGAAGAAAACCAAACCTGTGAGAAACTGAATAACTTGCCAAACAGAACATACTTAGTGGATTCCTCTTACTGCATCGGGTAAGCCGCCAACTCTCCAATAACGCTCAGAGTAGACGTTCAGACGTAACGCTAAGCCCCATTTTCTCACTAAAGCAACATCTTAGTCTTAACCTTAACTGTGTGTTGAAATTGCGTGGAGAGATTTTTAAGATCCTGATGGCCAAATCACAGCTCACACCAATTAGATGAGAATCGTTAGGGGTGGCCGTCGGGTATCAGTGTTTGTAACGCTCTCAGGGGACTCTCGTGTGCCATTAGAAACCTCGGGTGAGTCTAACGTGCAGGCAAGGTAGTAAAACACCGCATTAAAGTAACCTACAGGTGCCAACTGGTTTAAAAAGAGAAAAGCAGAGCAGAGCTGAGGCCGGCAAGATGCAATAAATACCGGAGTTGCAAGTTTTATAACCTCTGCCCCGACTGTATAATTCCTTGGAACTGATCCTAAGAAAACATTATAACAGAAGGAAAAATAAGCAAAAGAGGAGGCTCACTCCAGGACTCTTTAATTTTCATATTTAAAAAATCAGAAATCAATGAACCTTCCACATTACGTGAATGATTTTTTAAAAACTCATAGATGCCACTCATAGACTGACCAGGAGAACAGTGCTGACTCTTGACAGGTTGCAACTGGGCCGCCCACACTGCTCACCGTATGGTCCGCACAACTGACACCACCCGGCAGCTACCGTACCCATTCACTGCGACTCCATCTAATTAACTGAGAGTCCCTGGAGGTGAAATGGCACAGTGATATGATGGGAAGACATGGGTGTTGAGGGGCGAGTTCCACTTTTACCACTGGGTTGCTTCTGCCCCGATATTTCACAGCACCTCAGAAGGAATTACAAGGGCCATGGAAACAGGTAAGAGTACAATAAAGTGAAAACAGGACACTACAAAATTGGAGCATCAACTCCAACTGTTTTGAATGCTATAGAATTTAGTATCTGATAATAAATCAATCTTACAGTGGTCATAAATAGCTTAATTTCTCCCCCTTAAACAGGGTCTGTCTAACAGTCTAGCTCCTCCTGTCTCAGCCTCCCAGCTGGGACTACAGGAGCTCCATCGTCCTTGGCTTTTAGGTTGGGCCAGGGATCGAACCCAGACCTCCCATGTAGTCTCAACCTGCAGACTACGGCCTATGTGCAGCACATACCACTGGGCCATGTGTAAGCTAATTCTAAGTGTAAGTTCATATTTAGCGCATGCTCAGGCCAACGCCAGACACTCCAAATGGATCCAGACCAAAGACACAGTCCCCGTACTGCTAAGTAATTAATGGATTCTCTCTTTTCAGCCCTTTTGTTCCCTAGATGACTAAGGCCATCGAAGTGATTACAGTCCTAAGTGGTTAAATAGTGGTTTCTATTAACTCATATTTGGATTTATGTTCACATAGAAACTAGGTTATCTGTCAGAACTTTTGTTTCTTTGTATTCCTTTGAGTAATAATGACTTAATCTTATCTAGAAGTAGCTGGACAAAATAGGCCATAATACAGGGGCAATTCTTTTTCTTCACAAATGAGTTACAACTTTCCCCACACCTCTCTGCTCTAATTCAGTGCTTTTGCAGAATCATGTACCATTGGTGTATTCTTCCGTGATACAATAACAGTCAGAGAAGAACTTCAGAACTAAATAGGATTGGATGAAGGACTGGATTATGAAGGATTGGATGGTATTTTTTAACTTTGCAACTCATTGCACAAGCAAAAAATTCTCAAAGTGAATTATTAAGAAAAATGGGGCAGTCAGGTGGTGTGGTGGTTAAGGCAGCTGGCTTTTCTATAGCTGACTTCACAGTTCAAGGCCCAGACTCAGCAGCCTGAAAAACACACTGGGCATATGTGCATTTGTGCTCAAAATCCTGAAAGGAGCGTGAAGGAGAAGGGACTACGCTGTGGCCATACCCCTCTGCAAGGAGGGCTTTCTCACTTTCTCTTTTCTTCTCTCTCGACCCAGTTGGTGCACGGATCCTATCACAAACTGAAAACTAAAATGAAAAAGAAAGAAAGAAATTGAACATCTACAAATCTCAGCGAGACGGCCTACTGGCAGGAGAGAGAGCAGCCACAGCACCAACGAGAACGCAGTCACGAGGTACCAGCTACAGACCCACGGGACACGGTTTCATATCCTTCTGAAGGGACACTTCATATAGGCCTGGGCAAAGCTGCCAACGACCTCAATAACACTCAAAAAAGCATTTTAAAAGTTCGTTCTGAATCAGTGGCAGCCTTTGCTCTTGTGTTTGTTGTTATTACAAAACAGAAAACATCCTAATACAAACGTTAATGACCAAGTCACAAAGGGACTCTATAATTGACTGACGAAGTTTCTGGGAATCAAATGTAGAACACTGGGAACAGATCACAGTGCGGAATAAAAATGCAACATCAAGCAGGATCTAGTTTTTCAGAGCACTTTCGGCATAAATTATCGCTGTTACTCTGCTAAGTGACACAGGTGATGTTCTGCATATAGATGGGATTTAGTAAACCAATCAAGGTTCCACAGAGCGAAATAACTTTTTAAATTCATTTCAAAGAGTCTATTCACTACAAAGCAATGTAGAGCAGTAACTGGATGCATGAGCTAGAGGAAAAACTCACAGCAAAATGTTTCTTTAGATTACACTTATAAGGTGGCACTGAGGTCTTCTACTGGATACTCAAACAATAAAACCATTTTCAAAAGCACATATTCTCTAAAAAAAAAAAAAAGAGTGCATTTTCAAGGATGCCAGGAAATATTTATAATACAAGTGTATAAATACTTACTCGGCATGAAGTCTACTACACAAACTCGCATCTCAGGTAAGAGGAGGGGACTAGGTTACACACACACCAATCACAAAGGCAGTATTTCTTGGTATCTGATAATGCATACTTATTTTTAAATGTTCGCACTGGTACTTTTTATTATTGATAAAATGCCTCTGAAGCCTGCTGCTGGAAAGATGACAGGTGGCGTGCCACTGTATTAAAAATGCATTCCACTTGGAACCTGGTCTGGCTATGTTGTTCCTCGGCTCGTATTTCAAGATACTGCAAAATACCGCATTTCCAGAAAATGAAAGGTCTAGGTTATGCATTTCTTCATTCAAACATCTGAATATTCAGGCAGTATCTGCTATATCCCTAGACGCTAAAAATAAACTGATGAAGAAAAAAGATAGCCAAGGTTCCAATGAAAATGGTGCTTCCATTATAGGGAGTTAGCCATACAGACAGAGGTAAGTGCTTTAACAAAGTAAAACAGGGTGCTTATGTCTGTAGAAAACGGTGGAAAGAGCGACGGCTTTAGACGGGTGGGAAGAAGAAGGTAGCTCTCTGGGGAGGTGACATAACCGCTGGCCTGAAGGGTAACAAAGAGCCAGCATGAACATTAGGCGTTGGTGGGATGGAAATAGGAAACGACTGTAAAGTTCCGGAGCTGGGAATGAGCTGGCCAGTGTGCCCAGGCCCAGTGTAGCTGTGCTAACCGGGCAACGGGGGTGAGGAGGAACGAAATGAAACGAGGTCCCTGACTTGTACAGGGTTCAGATCTCATAGACCTTCATAAATCCTGTTACCAGGATTTCACTCTTAGAGGGTGAGAAAACAAGAGAGGAAAGAAGGCAAAGAAAGAAAGGACGGTTTTTTGGTTTGTTGTTGTTATTGTTGTTTTTTAAGGGACACTAACAATATTAACTGCTTGGCATGGCACCAGACAGTAGGATCCACTTGGAATCCACACAGCAGCTTTGTGGCAGGTATCAGTGTGTTTCCCTTTTGCATGTGAGGACAATGAGGCAAGGGATCATGTGCCCCAGAACACACGGATGCAAGGGGAAAGACCAGGATGTGTGTACTAACCTAATCCTAAAACCGAAGTCCACATCCACAATGATATCCACCTCTAAAGCGCTTTCAAACCATGTTCAAATGCTACAAAACTGGAAGGCTGATATATAGGTAATGAAGCTAATCAGATAGATTTAGGTTTTTCATTTTCATAATGTTACAGGAGACATGGCAAGTTTTTCAGCTGCAGAACACCATAGTTAGAGGCCATTCCTCTGAGACGGAGGTAATAGCATTCAAACTGAGTATCTTTGCCTGCCCCAAAGTTCCAGTTTGTGAACACTGTATCATAAAACTCAGTCTGCCCAGGGTGCATTTCTGCTCACTACCTAGCATTAGGGCTGCCATGCAACAAGGTATAACTAATTAACCTTTCCCTTCTCACTTTGCCTAGAATGTTGCAACTTAAGAAAAAAAGTCAAGCTTAAATCAAGAAACATGTATCAATAAAACCCCAAGTGAACTGTAGAGAAAAACACTTTACCAGTCCTAACATCACCAGTCCTTCAGGTAAGTCCAAAGATGCTTCTTGTTGAGTATAGATAGCAAAAAGCCCAAGACAAGGCAGAGAGCAGACGATGAAGATTAACGATGCCTCAGTTTGAAAGTGGATACTCACACGCGGCTGCCCAAGCACTGTGAATAGCACATGCCCATTCTATGTCGGCTCCCACTTCATACTACAGCTCTCAGCGTGGAGGAGTACAGCCAGGTCAGCCCTCCCATAAGGCATGTTTTGCTCTGAGACTTTATTTCTAACAAGGAACTGCAGCACCTAGTTCCTTATTTGGAGGTGACTGCAATATCTTCCATGAAACCACATCACCGTAACAGCGCCAAACCCCAGGGAGTTCTACAACACCCACTAAGGGCCTACTGAAATGGAACTGGAGAGGCGACATGCCAGGAGTGAGGGGTAGAGAAGGAGGGCATGGCTGACCCATGTCAAGGTGAACAGAAAGCTATCCTCTTAGCCACGCGTAGGGAAGTCACGGCTGGGCTAGTCACAGTCAGAAATGCTTACGAGCAGCACACAGAAAAGTTAGCACTGATGCCCTTCAAGTGCCACTCCCTTCCTTCCTTTTCTTCGAGGGGAGGACGACACAGAACTGCAATCTCCCCCTTTACAACCAGCACAGGGAGAGCACACAGGAAAGGAAGAGGAGAAACATTATCTAAGCAACCACTGTGCATCAGTACTTGATTCTACATCGTAAGCTTTAGAAGTTCGGGGCCAACAGATGGCATAGCAGTTATATCACTAGATTCCCACACGGTTGACCATGGCTCGAGTTCCAGATCTGGTGGCTTGAAATCACTCTGGATACATGTGTACGCATGCCCAAGAACCCAGGAGGAGAATGGATTATAAGGTGGCCAACCCCTTGCGGGATGATTTCTGACTTTCCCTCTCACTGTCTGCTTCTCTCTGCCTCTCCCTCTCTCTCTCTCTCCAGTGAGTGTGCATGCCCTAAGGCAAAAACCTCTTTTTAAAAGAGAAGGTTTTATAAAGTAACATTTAGAACATAATCTGCAAAGTCGAACAGATACTGAGTTTCTTGCTCCAACACTGCAACCTCTCTGATCTTGGACAAGTGTCGTTAAATTCCCCTGCATGTCAATTTTTCTCACCTGTACGTGGAAATACTAAGTTTGCTGTGAGGATCAAATGAATATGAAGCCAAGTACTAGCCAAGTGTTTGTCCCCTCCCTCCCTCCCTCCCTCCCTGAAGTGTGACTATGTAGTAAGCCAGAGAGCTGGTGTAATTATAATGAACCAAGAAGGAACTCGTTCCTAAAGAATGGACTAGAAAAAAGCACCAGAACCTTGATGGTGAGATAACTCTCGGGCAACTATCCCATCATCTACCATTACTCCCCCCCCCAAAATCACAGAGGAAAGTGGGGATGGATTTTCCTGCTCTTTGTAGAGCTAATGTTGTAACTGTGGGGTGAGGCTGACCAGGAAACAGTAAGTCAGAAACTGAAAGGTGATGAAAAGAGATGCCATAAGAATCAAAGTATTTCGCATGAATCTTCTTTCCTAACTCTCCACATAGACAAGCTAAGGAGGCCAGCAAGTGGTGTGATGGTTAAGGTGCTAGACTCCCACATGACTGACCTTGGTTCAAGTCCTGGACCTGTAACTTGCTTTCTCACTTTCCTTCTCTCTCTGGTCAAAATTTGAAAAAGTAATAATTATAAATAAAATCATTTTAAAAATAATTTTTAGTAAGAGAGACAAGCTAAATTTCTTTCTTTTTTAGAGAGATTTTTTGCTATAGGGCATGTGTGCTCACTGGAGACAAAGACAAAGAGACAGAAAGTGAAAAGTCATCCCCCAGGGGGGATGGCCACACCCCAATCCCTTCCTCTCCATGCTCTTGAGATTTTGGGCACACACACACCTGGCTGAGTTTCAAGCCGCCGGGTCTGAGATCCCAACTGCAATCGATTATGTGGGAGTCCGGCAACAAAACCATTATGCCATCTGCTGGTCCCACAAGCTGAGTATCTAAGAATATGTTATAAACATGTTCTCAGTTCATCTTACCAGCCTTATGAAATATGTATCGTTCTCCCCTATTTTACAGATGACAAAGCTGAATGCCACAGATGCTAGACAACAGGGATGCATCTAAGATCACCTTTGCCATTATTTTTAAGCCGAAATGGTTGACTATCTAATGAACATTCATGTGATCAATAATCAAGCAATAACAAAGGTACCCTAATGAGTGAGGCTCAATCACTGAGACAGTACCACCAAAGCAGGGATATCATTAAAATAAGAAGTTTTCTATTGGGGCCAGCAGGTGGTGTGGTGTTAAAGGTGCTGGACTCCCACATGGCCGACCTCGGTTGGATCTCGATCCTGGTGCCTTACTTTGTCAGTTTATCCCTTCCTCTCTTCCTCTCAAGTCCATTTAAATAATAATAAATAAACTTAAATAAAATAGTCCTTGAAAAAGAAAAAGGTTTCTATAAACATCCCTTACATAATTTTAAATAGAAGTCTCTTTTATGGGCTGTGCATCCAGAAATTCTATCGCCCAGTTATGGCATAAAGTCTATATTTATTACAGGAGTAAAATGCTACACATATCAATTACTAATTGTGAAAATGATAACTGTCATGTGCAAATCTGAACAGAGAAATCCTTTTTTTACTTTAATTTACATTTTATCACGTCTTTATAATATACATTTCTTTTTCCAACACAAATACCATGCATGTCAGTCAAGACTTTCTCCCCCCTCCCCGCCCTGTCACTCTGGTAAGCACATGTGCACTACCGCAAATTAAAATAAAAATAGGAATAAAAAATTAAATAATTATTTTTTAAAAAAGAAATAACTACCAACTCAGAAATTATTTCTCTTCCACTGTAATGTCAAACTTTTGAAACAGAACAATTAAATTTTGTAAGCAAAGGGTTACTTATATTTTATACTATCTCATATTTGTTCTGATATTACACAACTTTCTTCTCCACTGGTGTTATTCAGCTTTGGCCAAATATTGACTTTTAGCTAAAATGTTTACTCAACACACTTACTCTTTTTTTCTTTGCATAAGGACCACTTCCATGACTCTAAATAAAAATTTCAGGAAAATTTTTCAGATCATTTTATTACAACGCCATTAAGGAAACCTCAAAAATGAACAAATAAAATGAACAATAAAAATAAAAATAAAATGAACAATGCACATAATGAGTAAGAGTTACTAAAGGTTTATGGTTTTGGTAGGCAGATCCTTTATTCACACAGACACCCATTGAGCCCTACACTCGAGGTTCATATTTTCTTCCACTTAAGTCTGTAGTGAAGTCGGACAAGTGTCTCCAAAGTCACGTGCTGTTGCCATAGAGACTTTACTACTACAGATTAAGCTGTGTAATTTCACAAGTCTGAAGACAAATCCTCAAGCCTATGTGTTCCATGGCCGAGAAGGACCACGAGCGCAGGTCATTTGTACACACACAGCAGGAAGGGAAGACACAGGAAGAAGCACACCTCTGCGAGTCCATCCACTTCCAACACCTACCCCACCTTTTCAGAGAGTCCAAGGCAGGGGCCAGCCTGAAGCGTGGTGGCTGAGGCAGCAAGATCCCACGAAGCTGAGTGAAGGTCAAGTCCTGGACCTGATGGCTTTCAAAACACGCTGGGCATGTGTGTGCGAGTGCCACAGGTTCCAATAGGAGACTGGGGGAGAGAGGATTATGGAGTGGCCACCCTCCCTGTGGAGTGATTTCTCACTTTCCCTATATGTCTCTGAGGAACACTCACCACCTACAGCAAAACGAAATAACATACAATAAAAGGATAAAAAGTATCTTTATTTTAAAAAAATGAGACCAGCAGTTGGCATAATGGCTATGTCGCTGGACTCCCACGTAGTCAACCATGGTTCGAGTCCTGGACCCAGTGCTTAAACTCAAGTTGGGTGCGTGTGCGTGTCCGTGTGTGGCCAAGAGAACGGAGGAGAAGGGATTGCGGTGTGACCATCCTCCTCCCTAAGGGGTAATTTCTCACTTTCTGTCTCTCTGTTTCTGTCTGTCTTTCTAGAGAGTGCACGTGTCCTAGAGCAAAAACCTCTCCAACCTCTCAAAAAAAAAAAAAAAAAATCCAAGGCAGTGTAAGAATTCGTGGGCTCTGGAATTTCTTTTTTCAAATAAATGCACCATCACCAACCTCCATCCTACTTCAAATTACTACATCACAACTGACTTCCTACCTGGGGCCATCTCCTTGTGAAATGGGGGTGATACACCTCGCCTCAAAGGGCTGGAGAGGGGAAAAATATGTGAGAATTTATGCAGAATGCTGTTATATAAATATAAATATGTGGGACTAGCAGATGGTGTAATGGTTACATCGCTGGACTCCCACACAGTCAACCACGATTCGAGTCCCGGACCGGGCGGCTTAAACTTACGCCAGACGTGTGTGCGTGTGTGCCCAAGATCCCGAGAGGAGAATGGAGGAGAAGTGCCTGCAGCGTGACCATCCCCCTGGGGAATTATCTCTTGCTTTCTGTCTCTCTCCAGTGTACACGTGCCCCAGTGCCATATAAAAAAAAAAAAAAAAAAAAAAAACTGTCTAATAAATAAATTTTTTTAAAAAGATACTCAGAAGGTACCTTGGCAATTTCCTAGCATGTTGTCAAATGGAGAAATCCTAAGATTATACTTGGATGTCTTTAAAAATAAAAAGAGACAAGTTTGGCCCAGCTGTGATAGTGTGTGCTTGGCACTGTACTTGGCAGACTGAGGCCACATAGGAAGACTTGGTTTGATTTGCAGCCCACCTCCAAGAACTGGTGGCAGTGGTGTACACGCAGGGTAATCCCAACTACTGGGGAGGCTGAGGTAGGAGGATACTGACATAGGAAGACCTTGCCTTTCAACAAAAAGAAAAGGAAAAGAAAAGAAATAAAAATTCTTTGAGTCACACTATTGAAAATTTATAAAAAAGGGGGAAAGGCACTAAAAACCAGATCTATGAATCATCATAATCAAATTATTTTGCTCGAAAGCTTGACAATGTTACCAAACATACCTTCTCATAAAATTCTAAGTCTGAAAACAGTCTAAAGACTGACTTGCAAATGTGGTGACTCTGTAACTACATGGCCTGTTTAACTTACCTGGGTCTAGTCTCTCACACAGGGAAGAATGTTAAGTGTACTAACCACACCTTAGAGGTCTGTTGAGAGCCTTCGAGTGAGATCCCAGTGAAACACCGACATAGCATTGTACCTCATACAAAGCAGGTATTCAATAGTCACTAAATGTTAGCACCTCCCGCCCCATCTCTAATTTCCATTCAGTTCGACCACCTCATCTTCACCAAAACGCGTAGATCCAGATCACAGACGGAGAAAAGTCAGATGGATGGATGAGATGTAGGCCAGAGAACCGCCAAGTCTTCCCGAATCGCAAGCCTAAATCCTGCTCTCTGGCTATGACTTTAAAGGTAAGTGTGCATCTGTGTCACACTAGCCCCTCCTAAGCAAAAGTGACAACTATTAGCATGTTTTGCACCAAATGGGACACCGAGAACCCAGAGGTCAGGTACTTGAAGAGGGCCCTATAAAGGCAGTCATCGTGTTGACAGATGGCTGGCTCAATGGCACTTGGGTTCACTGAGAAATAGGAACACTAGAGTACTCTTCTACCTAGGCCTGCACCCAGGTGACAAATGCCAACTGGCACTGGAAAGGACTGGACAAGTCACAGGCACAACCCCTCCGAGAGGAGCCAACACTGCCTATTATGATAAACAGTGACCGATACCCAGTGCCTGCCAGGTGTGTCTGTGTTCTGCACATTCACAGAGTCATCTCCACCTGCACAGAACATCAGACTTTGTGCTGAGCTTGGTTCTGTTACGTCACAGATAGGTGACCTTGGGCAAGTGACTTTTCCTCTCTGGCCTCAGTTTCCTCGGTTATAAAGCAGGGATAATACTGAGCCGTTGGAAAACTCATGATGCATTTTTCTGTGCAAAAATGTGTCATGACTTCCCCAGCGACCCAACAATACCTACTCTACCTAATCATCAGTTAGTCCTGAGAGTCAAAATGGGTAAAAATCAATTACTCTTTAAAAATCATATGGGACCAATACAAAATGTAAAGTTATTGTGGGAGGGTCTTGTATTCCTCAGGAAAATAAGAGGCAGGACTACGTGGAAAACAATAACCCTCATAATTAAGTGTTATCTCGTCCTGTGTCCCAGTAGCCTCTTCCTGAGTCTCTTCTGTTAAATTTTTGTAGAAGGAAGAATATGAGTCCCGGAATTCCACAAATGTCTTTGGAATAGAGCTCTACCACTTTCCATATAGCTGTGGGCTAGTTGCTTTCATTCTCTGTGCCTCTGTATTTCACCCCGAAAACACAAATACTGCTTCTTTCAGAAAGGCTACTGTGAGGCTGAAATAATACAGTATCTGTAATGTACCAACCATGTTTTACCGTGCTTCCGGGGGTAGTCCAGGCCCTCTGTACGTGAAGATCTGTTGAACTGACATTGAAAATGAAGTGAAGTAACCACAAACACTTTCAAACTGGCTCTTAGGGCAACTGAAATATTTTAGCATTTATATAAGAACACCCCAGGGCTGAAATCCTTAAATATTCTTCCCCAAAGGGTGGGAACATGGCAGATCATTTGTATTCAATCTAGAATTCCTTATCCACCGACCTGCAGGCATTGACAACACAGCACGGACCAGAAGGCCACGCTAGTTTTATTTATAGTGTTATCTACTACACTAGGGAATCATTTCAAACCCTTATTAAGAAGGCACAACCAGATGCTACTAATAAGCATACTTAATGAAAAGCTGACACAGGCATGAAAGGAAAGGAGAAGGAAAGGCTAACAGGAAATACTTGTGCCAGTCACTGAGTTGGGCCCTCTTCATGAATGTGAGCCTCCACTTACTGCTCAAGGCAAAACACTGAAGATATTCCTCCTGCGCTTCCCGTGTGACAGAGCACTGAGGTCTGGAAAGGCTAAATGAGCCACCCAAGATCACACGACGTCACGGGAGTACACCACGGACTTGTGAACTGTCATTTTACTACAATTCTCCCAATGCACCTATAAATTTTCTTTAAACTTTTTGCTATAGAGCTTGCATGCTCAGCTGGGGGGTGGGGGGGTGGTAAGAAAATGGACAGATGTGCACACGGGCCTATCATGATTTTCAGGACACCAGGTCTAGAATTCACACCATTCAGTTGGCCATGGGGGATCGAGCGCCTTAACCACTATACCATCTGCTGGTCCCCCATCAATGAATTTTAATTCACAGAAAACTACAATAAATACTACAGAAAAGATCATCTTGGCAGACCAATCAAATGGAATTTGAATTTCACTGATTAGTGATCTCTAATCTTACTGATGTTACTACTACATAATTGCAAGAGGCTTTCAAACTGAGCACCTTCGTGTTGCACAAGGTATCTGCACAAATCTCATTTGGTTCTAACAACAACTATGAAGTAGGAAGCACAGATATCGTCCATAAGAGACGGGAAGCATGGGACACACAGTGGACAGGGGACTTTTCCTGAGTCACATAAACTAAGTGGGGAAGTTCAGATTTTAAATAAGCTCTTCATCTGAAAGCAATTCCACCATATCATACTGTTGTTCTTTACATTGAAAGTTAAACCCCTTTATTTGCTTCACAGAATACCCAGACACTATTTGACAAATAAGCACAGATTTCTCAGGACAAGCAGATGGCGTAGCAGTTACATCCCTGGACTCCTACACGGCCAACCACAGTTCAAGTCCAGACCTAGAGGCTTGGAAATCATGCCAGGCATGTGTGCATGTATACCCAGAATCACAGGAGGAGACTGGAGAAGGGACTGTGGCATGGCCATCCCCCCGGGGAGTAATTTCTCACCTTCTCTCTCACTGTGTCCGTGTGCTGTGTGTGTGTGTGTCTCTCTCTCTCTTCCCGGTGAACACACACACTCTAAGGCGAAAACTTCTTTAAAACAAAACCAAAAAACCAGAGTTTTCATAAAACAGGCACCAAGCACACAGTTAATTACCCCAGGATGTAGATATTATCCCTTCTTTATCAGAGGAAAAATCAAAGCACAGAGACAAAAGTTACTTAATGTGTCCAAAATAATACTGTTAAACATGGCAGAGCAAAAATGAAAATTTTGATTTGAATTTTGGGTCTGCAGGATTAGCCACTATCCAAAGCTGTAACTTACTCTTCAGTTCTGTCCCATAGGAGCGAGCCAGACCTAAGACGGCTTCCTGTGATGCGAGAGTGAGAAAGCAGCCAGATCTGATAGCACCTGGTGCTAATACCCTTCTTACACGACACAACGCCACAATCATCTGAGGCAGCCACTTTCCAGCAATCACTACCCAAGACCCTGCAAACTGGGGCTCTGTCCCTCCTCTATCCCCCACTGTGGTACCTTCAAACTGAGGAAGACCGTGCAGAAGGAGGCCTAGGTGTTCTGGGTCTTCCTCTAGGGCTAAAAGTTTCAGGCAAGACTGGTCATTTCTTAATCAAAGGTGGATTTTCAGATCATCAATGCATCTATGTTCGTGATTTAAGGTCTACATATAAACTGAGGCATAAGAGCATCAAGTCAATAAAATCTCTTAGTTCCCTTTTACTGGATTAAGTGAAAGTTAGTGATGGGTTACAAAAAGGGAAACTGAAAACTGCCTTACTAGTTGTTACTTTCTAGTGGGACTTAAAATCAGTTTCAAGAGTTCCTTACTTAGAGAATCCTTCCATCTCTGGAAGACCAAATCAGAATTTCCACAAAGACATGACACTCAGTTTATTAAAATTCATTACTGAGTGAAATAAGCCTCCAACACAGAAAACAGAAAGACACTGGGCCATAACCAGCATAATGCTCCATACATCACCCCCCAAAAATTAAAAACAAAACAAAACCCAGAGAGACCAGCAGTTACATAATGGTTAAGTTGCTGGACTCCCACATAATCGACCGAGCCAGGCACATGTGCATGTGTGCCCAAGATCCCAAGAGGAGAATGATGGAGAAGGGATTGCGGCGTGGTCATCCCCCTGGGGGTGATTTCTCGTTTTCTTTCTCTCTGGCGAGCACACATGCCCTGTAACAAAAATCTCTCTCTAAAAAACAACACAAACACACACAAGGCAAAGCAGTGAGGAAGGAAAAGAATACATATATATGGGGAGGTATATATAAAGGGTTACATAAACCTGACTTTGGCCCAGTGCAGTAGGCAGTGCATGACACTGCTATTCGGCAGGCTGAGGCCACCTGGGGGACCCAGGTCCAACTGCTGACCCACCTTAATGCTGGGTGTGGTGGCTCATGTCTAGAGTCCCAGCTACTCTGGAGGTCAAGGAAGGAAGAATGTGATACAGTGGACTCTTTTATTTTAAAAATAAACATTTCTGGGGCCGGCAAGTAGCATGGTGGTTAAGGGTGCTGGACTCCCCGATGGACTCCCGTGGGGTAAGTTCCGGACCTGGCAGCTTGCTTTCTCACTTTCCCTCTCTTTTTCTCTGTGTCTCTCTGGTCAAATTAAAAATAAAAATAAATAATAATAATAATAAATGAACTTAAAATAATTCTTTTTGTAATTTATATTTTATTATAAAAATAACATAAAACTTGGCTTTTTTTTTTTTGAGAGATTTTCACTATAAGGGCACGTGTGCTCGCCAGACAGACAGAGAGAGACATAGAGACAGAAAGCAAGAAATCACCCCCCAGGGGGGATGGTCACGCCGCAATCCCTTCTCCTCCATTCTCCTCTCGGGATCTAGGACATGCACGCACATGCGCCCGGCGTGAGTTTTAAGCCACCGGGTCTGGGACGCGACCCGCGGTCGACTACATGGGCGTTCAGTGACATAGCCATTACGCTAACTGCTGGTTCCCATAAAACTTGACTTTTCAGTAAAGATAATGTCAACAGTTATTTAATCTAAAACATACACAACCATACTTCAATTTTGTACTATTAAAAACTGAAAAGAGACAACAAAAAAGACAAGCCTATATTGGGAAAATTTAATAAACTGAAGAGGATGAGTGTATAATGTGGTAATCTGATATATGTATACATTGGCCAGACAAATAAAGATAATGCATCCATTGTCCTACCTGCTTTTTTTTTTTTTTTTGGTGTGGTTAAGAATGTTTGAAATATACTCTTGTAGCGATGTCGATATACCAAATACATTATTATTCTGACACATTTTACAACATGCATGAACTCTGAGGACATTACATGGAAGAAGGTAGACACAGAAGGACAATACAAGATTCCACTTACATGAGGCACCTAGAGTAGGCCAATTCCTGAGGACAGAAAGGAAAGTGGAGGTTGGTGGGTGTGGCTGGGGGAAAGAGAGCGAGTGAGGAACTAGCACTTCATGGGTGGAGTTCCAGTTCGGGGTGATGAAAATTTTCTGGAAATGGATAGTGCGGACAGTTACATAACACTGAGTGTACTTAATGCCCCTGAACGTACACCTAAAAATAGTTATAATACTCAGTTCTGTGTTCTGTATACTTTACCACGGAAAGAGAGAAAGAAGGGGTAGAGACATCCCGACCCTGCAGAGTTGAAATTCTATCAAAGTCTACTGGTTTCACTGAGCTGTTCAGCAAAATCACCTCCTTTTCTGCCATTTTTAAATTACTGACGATGACTCAGCACTTTTTCTAGGCTTCGGAACCACAACAGCCCAAGAATTCAAGATAAGGGCCGGATCTGCAGCAGGTGTTCCTGCTCCTGCTGTCCCATCAGAGTTCTGTATCTGGAGATTTCTCCAGTTGGTATGCCTTGACACTCTCTCTCTCTCTCTCTCTCTCTCTCTCTCTCTTTTCAAGAGGAGCTAAGTGGCTTTCCCACACAACAGAGGGAGTATTTTCAGGCAAGCAAAAATGTCTTCTCCCAGAGCACACACACTCTGTTTTCCTTAAGGCTGCGCTGCAGTAACACGACTGGGACATCGCCGCCAAAGCATATAGTGAAGCTGCTGTGACCATTTCGTTTCCCGTTTGGATGGCCGCCTTCGACCATCTCTGCTTCCCAGCAAAACTCTGTCCTAGAAAATCCAGTGCAGAGGAACTGTAGTTGAGCTTTGCAATCGTTACACTGAGTTCATCCTGTCAACTTCTGGAGCAAGGCCTCTCCCTCCTGAAGCCATGAGGCCAACAACAGCAGGAAAAAAAAAAAATCACCGGCCAGATGGGAAGTACGAAGGAGGGGAGCAGAATACCCCTGGGAATACAGTCGTGGGAGGGCTCGGGTATCCAAAACTCATCTGAGAAGATGAGTGCCCTTCCTACCACTACTGTATCTGTAGCACCCATCAGAAAGCTTTCTGGAAAGAACCTTCTGTCTGGCTTAACTGGGAAAGTTGTAAGCTTGGCAGGTAAAAAGCAGGAAAAAGCTTTATGTAATTGTAAATACCATTACAGTTATGAGTTCTGCTTTCGGTCAGACTACGCTCCCCCTGGCCTCCCACAACACACACAGCTAAAAATGGTAAGATATAAAATGCAACTAAATTAAATCTGGCAGGAACAAAATATCTGAGAATTTGGGGATATGGACTCAATTTACAATTGGGTCTCTTGATTACTAGAAAGAATCGATCTAATGGGATTCATTCTTTTTCAGATGACATGGCAGAAAAGACAATGGCCACCAAACAAAATATACACAAGAAAAACTATTTTAATTTCTGCCATGCACAAATATGCCCACGAAAAATGTCAGCTGCTGTCATGCATTTATTTATTTACGCAAGGAGAAAAGAACTCTTCAAATGTTTTGACTAACAACCTTCCTTTAAAAGGCTCTTTATAGAGTCAGAACATATAACAAACCCACAGACAGACAGGATTTCCTACTGTGCGACTGCAGGACAATTCAGCTGCTTTTTAATGCTATTCACATGCACAAACCACTGTTCTCAATTTTAGTCCCAGAATTACATTCTAATCAAAACTCAATGGGTTACCTTCTTTTCTGTATACGGTTATAATATAATAAAGTACTGGTTTCTAATGAACTCTTTTCAAGTCTCAAAAACAGAGAGGAAAAAAACACATGGCACAGAACACGGCTTCCTCTTGCACTAGACCAGGACCAGGAGCAGCAGTGTATATGGGTAATGCTATGCTACTCCCACAGGCAGGACTCTGAGTTTTCAGTCCAACATCGCAGGTAAGAGGCAGTAAAGGCAGGGAGGCAGAAGCAAGAAGCACAGGGACCATGACTTACGTTCGTTTCCCTCAGACCAAGAAGCGTTCAGCACGAGCGGATGACAAGCCTCCAGCAGAAAGCGAGGTACAGAGCTGAGGTTTCAATTCCTGGCACACTCACACTGAAATGCCCAGTGGGCGGTACTGGGGTGACAAGGGGGTGGGGCTGGTGGCCAGAGGAGGGAAATGGGGAGAACGAGCACTTACTCGGTTAGAAGCTGGTGCAGCTTGTGATAACCTCGTTCCAAGGCCAGGGTCGCAGGTGTCGCCCCTTCCTGGTTGTGGATGCTGAGAGCTCCTCGGCCACCCGGCTTCTGCAACAGGAACCACGTCAGCCTCAGCAGTCCCAGCCGCACAGCAAAATGCATCAGTGTCTCCCGGGGGCCACCATCTGCAAAGGGAGAAGAAAATAAAAATAAGCGAGGAGAGCATGAACACAAAAAGCAAGCAAGCCGTCAGATGAGTTAGGTATGCTGTCTCCAAGTGCCTGGATCTGGAAGTTAAGCTACAGTGTACAGGGTAGCATCCAGGTTCTCTCAAAGTAACAAGAAGCTAGAAAAGAAGTATTGGAAGCAAACTCTTCAATAGGAAACAGCCCCACAAAACAGAATTGGAAGCAAAATCTTCAATAGGAGACAGCCCCACAAAACAGAAGCATGTCTATATTCTGAACTCACATAACTGTTTTCGCCAAGGGGTTTAGAAGGCTGACCCCCACATACATTCTTTTCCTTAAGAACAAAAACAAAACAAACACAACAGCAAACCCAGCCCCACAACATGGGAACCCAAGGGGAATAGGTGTGAGGATTCAGATGGGTGTATCATAAGGATATAATTACTTTTAGAAAGAACACCCAGTCAGGAATTGGCTCGCTAAACACTAAAAAACAGGTTCTGCTTGTGAAGTACACACAGGGTTTTTTTTTTTTCTTTTTTTTTTTTTTATTCTCCCACATTAAAGGTAAATCAAATTGCTGGCACTGCCACCTTTGTTTGTTTCTTTAATGAGAGAAAGAAATGCATCTTCAGGCATAATAAGAGAGACTAACTCTAAGGCAGCACATTGTAATCGCTTCAGAAAAGAAAACATGTGTTTGGGCTCTTTTTCCCCTTGCAAAGAGGGCTCCTTCTCCTTCTGCACAGTCAGTCACAGAAGTGGTGGAATGAGGAAGGCCTTTGGAGCCAGACAAATCTGGAGTCAAATCTGGCATTCACCACCTGCGTGTCCAGGGATGATTCATTTAGTCCCTCTGAGCCTCACTTCCTTCATCCCTAGAGTGGAACACCACTGTCCTTCCCAAGGGTTGTACCAAATGAGAGGAGGAGGGTACAACGGTGGCAGTCCCAGAACGGTGGCGTTTAATGACCAAATGAGAGGAGGAGGGTACAACGGTGGCAATCCCAGAACGACGGGCTGTCCAAGGCGCTCATTAAACGCCAATTCCTTCCCCTTCCCTGCTCTCATCGCTGTGCTCTTGGCCCTCAAATTACATCCCAAGTTCACGAGCAACACTTTCCTCCTCACTGTCCTGCTGTGCCCAACACCTGATGGCAGGAGCTGGGGTCACAGCGCGGTTGCTGCATACGGCTCTGTGGGGCCGTGCTACTCAACTCCAGGGAGGTGGGAAGGGTGTCCTGGAGACATGCCCATCTTCCGATCATCTCTCATTCGCCACGGCCTCTCCCGGGTCACAGCTTCTTCACTCAGCATTCCTGGGTGTCTTGGGCCCCAGGGCTTTCGCCCCAACTCTTCACTTAGCATTCCTGGGTGTCTTGGGCTCCAGGGCTTTCCCCTGACTCTGAAGTCCTCAGATACATGACTATCACCATCAGAATGACTGCGTCTTTAAAACATTCATTTAAAACTGATTTTACAGTAAACCTCACTATTTGCCAATGTCACTTAGTCTTTCCAAGGTAAAGTTCCATGGGAGCAAAATCTCATCTCTTTTTCCATCTTCTTTTTACAGCGGTTAGAAGGTGTGTATGTACTGGCCGGAGAGAGGGGGAAAGCACACCCCTAATGTGGAATGGTCATACCACGATCCTTTTCCCCCCAAGACTTCTTTCCATTGGGATTTGGGGGGCGTGTACATGCCCACTCTCAGCGTGTTTCTCAAGCCCTGTGGAGGTAGATCTAAATGAAGTCAACCAGGTAGGATCCAGCTCCCTATAAACAGTGCTTAACCACGGTGCAATGGGGCTGGGCCTCATATTGTTTATTTTCCCAAAAGCACTATACACATACTGACCAACTCAAAATTTATAGGGTATTTAAGTAGAAGCACATGGCTGGGGGAAAAAAAATGTCCCTGAAGAGACAATTACATGTACAGGTTAACAAATTTTAATCATCAACACCTTTGAACAGGAGGTACAGCCAGAACACAGGACAGAAAGAACCTTCACAAAAGATCAAATACCATCATCTGACCTACAGTTGCTCACAAGCCTTCGGACATCCTTATCAAATACAAAAGAGCTAACATGGCACTCACTGGCCGGTAGGTAGTGATTTTTAGAGGCTGCTTAATTTGCCCTTATTGGATAACACAACCTTAAAGTATTGTAGGTCCTCGAGAAAGACCTAATGTATTTTTCTGTTTTGAGCAAAAATGCATCATGACTTTCCTGACAACCCAAGTTTTTTTCCTTCACTTCCCCGTTTCTGATAGTTGTGTGCTCAAAGTCAGCCCAGCATGGATGAGGACTTTAAGAACAAGGACTGAACCTCTCAGATGCTGGCACCAAGTCCTATTCCATGTCCTCCCGCAATCTCACTCTGCAGTGTGCGACAGCAAGCACTACAAATGCTTCTGGGCCTCATTGCCAACAACGGACTAGAAAAAAGTAATACGTGGGGAGGACCTGCTCCGTGTCATATACTTCTTATCACCATTTTTCACTCTATCCTCACAATAAGCCCATGAGGTCTTGTTATTCTCGTTCATACAAATTAAATCAGGTTCACGGAATAACTTGTCCACAGCCAGAATACGATCTGAAAACTTTTCAGAGTCTGAAAACCATATTCCTTCCATCACTTTTTTTTTTTTTTTTTTAAGAGAAAGATTTTTGCTATAGGATGTGTATACTTGCCAGAGAGACAGAGGGACACAGAGAGAGAAAGTAAAAAGCCACGCCACAATTCCTTCTCCTCCATTCTCCTCTCGGTATCTTGGACACACCTGCACACGGGCCCAGCCTGAGTTTTAAGCTGCCAGGTCCAGGACTTGAACTGCGTTTGACTATGTGGGAGTCCAGTGACGTAACCATTACACCATCTGCTGGTCCCATTCTACCACGTGTTTTAAAATTTTTTAAATAAAAAGTAAATAGGCAATCACACAAAGAAGCTAATGGTGTGATTTTAAAAGCACCTTTTCCCGTTTCCCCCAGACTCTTTCAAATGTATTAGTTGAAAGTGTTACACAATGAATAACTGAAGATTCAATAACACAGGTGCTACAGTTCATCTTTTTCTATAGTTGCTTTATTATATGTCTAACCATCCTTCCACCTCTCAGTCCATCAATGCATTTATACATTTCAAAATAAGTTGAAGACAGGGGAACCAGCAGTTGGCGTAATGACTATGTTGCTGGACTCCCACGTAGTCGACTGCGGTTCGCATCCCGGACCCGGTGGCTTAAAACTCATGCCGGGCGCGTGTGTGTGCGTGCCCAAGATCCTGAGAGGAGAATGGAGGAGAGGGGATTGTGGCACGACCATCCCCCCGGGGGGTGATTTCTCGCTTTCTGTCTCTATGTCTCTCTCTGGCGAGCGCATGCGCCCTATAGCAGAAAAACTCACAAAATAATAATAATAATAACAAGTTGAAGACAGCAACATCAGTCCACTTCACTTCAGCATACACATCATGAAGCAGAGTTCAATCTATGGCTGTAACTTAGATGACCTACATACAGTGAAATACAAATGAAATAGATCATCTGATAAATTTTGACAAATACACATATCTGTGTGACGTCTATCAAAATATGTAACACAAGCAGCACCTAAGTTCCCTTGTGTTCAATCCCAGTTAATCCTTGCCTCCCTTATCACTAGAGTTAACTAACCACTGTTCTGAGTATTTCACTACAGATTACGTGTCTGTTCTAGAACTTCATGTAAGTGGAATTATAGTTGGCCCTCCATATCCACAGGCTCTGTATCCATACAGTCAACCAAACACAGATCAAAAACTATTCAGGGGGACCAGCAGTTAGCGTAATGGCTATGTCGCTGAACTCCCATGTGGTCGACTGCAGTTCAAGTCTCGGACCCCGTGGCTTAAACTCACGCCAGGCGCGTGTGCGTGCGTGCCCAATATCCCGAGAGGAGAATGGAGGAGAAGGGATTGCAGCGTGGTCATCCCCTCTAGGGGATGACTTTTCACTTTCTGTCTCTCTGCCTCTCTCTGTCTCTCTGTGACTGCACGTTCCCTATAGCAAAAACCTCTCCAAAGGAAAAAAAAAAAACTATTTAGAAAAAAAAACTTAAAAAGCATTATAAAAAATATTAGTTAAAAAATACAGTATAATAATTCACATAGCTTTACATTGTATTATTATTAGAAATCTAAAGATTATTTAAAAGTATATAGGAGGGGAACAGCAGGTGGTGTGGTGTTTAAGGTGCTGGACTCCCACATGGCTAACCAGGGTTTGAATTCTAGGCCCTGAAGCTTGAAAATCATGATGAGCACCCCAAAATCCTGGGAGAAGGGAGAAAAAGGCATTGCAGGGTGGCCACCTTCCCCCGCTGGGAAGTGACTTCTCACTTTTCCCCTTTCTGTCTGTTTTTGCTTTTTGGTAAGCACATGTGCCCTATAGCCACACACACATACTAAAAATAGTTATAATAAATCGTGCTAGGGCATGTGCATACATGCCCAAAATTCCCAAAAGGAGAATGGAAGAGTGAGATTTCTCACTTTCCCTGTCTCTCTCTGGTGAGTAAAAATCTTTTTAAAAAAATGTATATAGCTTGAAAGTCAACACCAGGCAAAGTATGTGCGTGCCCAAGATCCTGGGAGGAGAATGGAAGGCAAAGGGCCTGTAGCGTGGCCATCCTCCCTGGGGAGTGATTATTCACTTTCCCTCTCACAGCGTCTCTACCTGTCTCTCTCTCTCTCTCTCTCTCTAGTGAATACATGCATCCTAAGGCAAAAACTTCTTAAAAAAAAAAAAGTAGTAGTATATGAGAGGAAAAGAGCAGAGAAGCACGTGCATAGATTATGTGCAGACACGATGCCATTCATGTAAGGGTTGAACGTCCCTAGATTTCTATATCTGTAGGTAGCAGGGTGAGTCCCCAGGGAACCTATTTCCTTCAGTACCCAAAGACCACTACGGACCATACATACTCCTGCACAGGTCTTTC